CATTGGTCATAAAAATAACTAGGTGTAAGACTCGTATATTATACAGATTGATTAAAAAAAAATTAAATATTAAAATTTAAATAATAAGTATTTTTAAAATAAATATTTGAAATAGGAAATAAAGAAACATATTAATTACAATTTACTATCATATTTATTACATTTAATACTTTACATATATATATATATATAATATATATATATATATATATATATATATATACTAGTTTATAACCTGTTGAGAACCACGGTTATAAAATTAATTAATCTTTTATAATAAAAATTTATAATTATTAATCAATTATTTTACATAAATCATTTTAAATAAATTATTAATTAAGAGATGTGTGGAGTTGTATTATGCCAAATGAATTATTAATCATTTTAAATAAATTATTAATCATTTTAAATAAATCATTAGAAAATATAAATTTGAATTTTAAAATGAGTTGCCTAATATATCTACTTGACATATGACATAATATTAATGATGAATTGTATTAGAGTGACACTTGGCAAAAGTAGATTAAAACTATTCATATATATATATATATATATATATATATAGATATATATATATAATATATCTATATAATAATATATAATATATATATATATATATGAGTAAATTACACGAATGGTCCCTATGGTTTGGGGTAATTTGCATGTTTGGTCCCTAACTTATTTTTTTAACTCGGAAAGTCCCTACGGTTTGTTTTTGTTACACGCTTGATCCCTACTGTTTGTTTTTGTTACACGCTTGGTCCCTACTGTTTGTTTTTGTTACGCGTTTGGTCCCTGTCTTACCTAAAAAACTATTATTTAAATAAGAAAAAATGGTGGGGCAGGTAAGGTAAGGTGAGGGAGTGGGGTTGGGGGTGTGTCTATTTAAATAAATTAAAAAATTCAAGGGCAAAATAGTATTTTTAGGTAAGACAGGGACCAAACGCGTAACAAAAACAAATAGTAGGGACCTACCGAGTTAAAAAAATAAGTTAGGGACCAAACGTGCAAATTACCCTAAACCATAGGGACCATTCGTGTAATTTACTCTATATATATATATATATATATATATAATATATATATTATAATATATATATATATATATATATATATATATTCTATATATATATATATATATATATAGGGAAAGTGAATATACCCTTAAGGGTATATCAGCTTAGGTACCTAAACACACCATATTATAATGTTTTTAATCTTCAACCCCTAACTTGATATATTCATTATAATGTTTTTAAACTTCAACCCCTAACTTGATTTACTTTTGAGATTTTCGAAATCTCAATATTATCTTCCTTTTACATTACATCTTTTTGCCGACCACCTGCTAGGCTATATATATTGTAGTTGAAAATGAAAATTATGTAAGAGGAAGATAAATATGTAATTTATAAAAATCATGGAAGTAAATCAAGTTATAAGTTAATTATAAGAACATTGGACAATTTAGAATGTATTATATGATGCAAAACGACATGGTATGGTGAATTTGGGTACCTAAACTTATATATCGGTAAAGGCACATTCACTTTTCCCATATATATATATATATATATATATATATATATATATATATAATATATATATATATATATATATCTATATATATATAGAATATTGAATATTTCTTGAAAAATGTGAGAGTTACAAGCTTTACAACAACAAGTACCATAATTTAATGCAAATACCATTAATCTTTATTTGGAGAAAATCAAAACAATTTAATCTTTACCAAATACAACGAACACCATGAATTGAGGAGATGATTATGGAAATCAATTCTAAAAAATAAATATTAAGCTTGGTATACAACTCAACTAGACATAAATAGACCACTAATTACTCCTTACTAAAAATCGGATATCCTTCGATCTCGCCTAAAATTTGTTTTGTGCGCCTTTCACTTCTCTGCTTTAGAAACCCTAATCTCAAACATCATCAAGCAGCACTCCGCTCTATTTCTTCCTCTCTGCTTTGAAAGTTTTTGTTTTTAGGGTTTTAACTAACCATTCTAACTAATAAGTGATATCAGTATAAGCCTGTTCTTTCATGATTTCATTTATTCATCGATTGTATAATTTTGTTGTTTAATTTTTGAGTTTCATATTTTTATTCTAGATTTTCTACCAAACTCGATATGAAGATTAACTTTGATTCCAGATTTTCTGTTGATGTCCATACAAGGTTCGGTCTATCAAGCTTTCTTTTTAATTTCCATTGCAGTGAGATGAATTCATGTCTTTCTTTCTAATTACCCATTTTTTACTCCAACATCGGCACCGGTGATGATTGTGTCTCTATTCCAGTTGGTGCAACCAATATATGGATCAAAATTTTGCTTATGGATCGGGACATTGATTCATGTATGGATACAAAACCTTGACTTCTATTAAATTCGAATGGTGAATTTAATAATATCTTAATAGGGGTCTGCTTGAAGTTCGAGTATCTGATCAAATCCCTAAATTTGCTAAAGCTATAGCATTTTTTAGTTTCATTTTATGCTTGGATTTTCTACTTTTTTTCATTTTGAATGAATGCCTTCAATATGTTTGTTAAAATGTCTCAAAGAAGATTTTATTCTAAAAAATTGTTAAAATTATGGTTTTATTGTGTTGGTCGTGTACTCATGTTAAAAATATTGCTTATAGCTTTTAATTTGCTATTAAGGCATTGCCAAAATTCAATCATGGTTTGTTAGGTTACCTTTGGACTCACAATTTGATAAGAAAATCTGATATAATCTCTATCAGTTCAAGTCACACAAAAGAAGATGAGTATTAGGATTTTCACAATAGGTGTTCTACATGCCTTTATCTCTATTCGATTATACGGTGTTACAAGTGTTTGGTATATTCAACAACTTTATTAGAGCATATGATGAAGAGATGCTAGAAATGGAAGTAGAGGCTGAATGTTTGGCTGAACATGTTGAATTTGAGTGTCAACCTTTTCTTGACAACAAACATGGAATTGTGATAAGTACTTGAATTTATTTTTAGGTTTTGACTACTTGAATAAATATATGTTATATGTTCTGCTTTTCAGTGGGATTTTGCAGAAGTTTGCAAAAAAAGTAATTTGAAAGGGTTTTTGGTTTACAAACGTTTGGGAAAGGTGTTTGGTGAAATTGTTTTTTTAAAGTATGAGTGGTGTATGATATTTTACTTTTCCAACTCTAAAATTAGTATATAATTTTTACTACGTATTTTCCAATTCATGAGGTGTGTAAAGATTTTTAAAAAATGATAGTTATTATGCTGTATCCAATTACTTGCTTATGGTTTTACCAGGGGTGTTTATTAGTTTTACAACTGGCCCTTTTGATGTTGATGTTTTTGAAGTTTATGGTGAAGACACGTCTCAGATTTTTGCAAATGACTATTGTTATTGTGTATGTATGATGTGTGTGTATGTGTTTTGTTTGTGGATGTATGCTGTGATTTGTATACTGTATGTATGTTGTATCTGATTTTTTTTCTCTATCTATGTGTGTGTGGAGCGTCGCTAAGAAAATAAGTAAAACTAATATTTACATTAATTTACTTTTATTTTTATTTGTTATGCATTGTTGTATCTTTTTAGGTGGTTTGACATATGTTATTTCGAAGCTCTTGGTTCCGACTAAATAAAATTCGTTGTGGCCTTTGATTTTGTAAAATATATGATTGATTTAAGAGAGCTTATGTAATTGCAACATTTGTAAATTCTATATTGTTTTAGTAATAAATTAAAAATGGATATTTGCTTTTGTAGAGAACTGAAACGATTATAAAATACATGCATTTGAAAGCTTAGCTATAATAAAAATATAATTTTTATTATGCGACGAAAATAATATTTTGATCTAAATATAACGACACCCCATTGATATGTAGAAATTTTCAACACAATGTTATTGATATTGAAATAGGTGTTGGTCAACATGATGGAAATATGGTATTTTTTTTTCAAGGATTTATCTATGTCTGTCTGAAGATGACATGTTTCCATTCTGAAGAGAAACAATTTCAAATTTGATTAGGTTTCGCGATGACAGTTAATAAAGATGAGGGGCAAACAATTCCAAAGTATCCATCATGTGTCGATACAAAATTGTTAGTGAAGTCGGACAAACAATTGAACGACATTGACATCTATAAATAAAATATGGTATATAAAGAAGTGTTCTACGATTAATAATGTATAATCAATCATGTGTTCATATACATTTATAAACAATCCTAACTTTTCATTTTTCATTTATATTGATTTTTTTTCTGCTAGCATGATTCTTATTGATAATTGTTTAGATGTAATGAATTATTTGCGCAAAATAACTAATTTGTCTCTAGAAATTAATTTTTAAAAAACATATTTGTACCCGTCGCTTAGCACGGGTAAACGGCTAGTATATATATATATATATATATATATATATATATATATATATATATATATATATATATATATATATATATATATATATTATGTGACTTTTTAATTTTAAAAATCGAAAAAACACATAAATTGACATATGAATATTATTTATTTAAAAAATATCATAAAATAATAAATGTCAATAGGGATGAGCATATGGACCGGAGAACCGGCCGGAACCGGTACCGGAACCGGAACCGGCACCGGAACCGGAACCCGATGGAACCGTTCGGGCCGGGACCGGGACATTATTTTTGTGGATTTTTGGAACCGGGAACCGGTATGAACCGGAACCGATATAACCGGCAAAAACCGGAACCGTATGATGCTATTTTTCGAGGACCGGTTCCAACATTTGAAAACACGACAAGAACCGATAGGAACCGGGAACCGGTAGAACCGTCGGGCCGGTTCGGTTCTTGATTTTGGCCGAAGCCGGTTCCCGGGTCGGGTCCGGTTCGGGCCGGTTCCGACCGGTTCGGTCCTTTTGCTCATCCCTAAATATCAAAATTGATGAGAGATTGGAAAATAGCAAAATTATTTTTATTTATTAGAATCCATCTATGTACAAATAATTAAATATTGTTCTCACCACCAGGAAACAACTCCCTACCAAATCCTATTACAATTTAGACCGGAGGGTGTGGGAGGGAAGTTTCCCTCACTTTTTGTGGGTCATACCCTCCTTTCCCTCACTTTTCTTTTGCCTCACTTAAAAGCCAAGGAATGGGTGGGAAGCCCTTCCCTCATTTTTTTTTTAAATATATTTCATACATATATTATACTCATTTTGTAGGGAATTAAAAACATGAGTTTTGATATATTTTTTATATTTTTTTAGTTGGTATAAAATTTTATAAATATTAAAGAAGATAAAAAGAAAAAAAAAACCTGACCAATAGCATGAAGGGAGAGAGTGTGGTAACCCATCCCCCATCTCTTTCCGCAGCTTTTTTCCCTCACCTTTCCCTCACCCACGGAGTGCTGTGCAGGAGTGAGGGAAGCTTCCCTCACCCCTTTCCCGCACCCACTCCGTCCAGCCTTACAAACTTTAGAAAAACAATCAAAGCCCACCTCACCGGAACAACACACTAAAAGAATTACAAACATTCAACATGGCAAAAATATTGTAAACATTCAACACGGCATTACCATGTGAGTCTGACTTGTGCAAGAAGCAAGCCGGTTTCAGTTTTCGTCATCGTCATCATGAGAAATACCATGGAAGAAGGAATCATGGAGGAGGTCGGCAGCAGAAGGCCTATCCCTTGGATGAGCCAAGCACTTCTCAATAAAGGCCTTCACCTCCTGATCTTTTAGCTTGTTCATGGCGTCTGGCCTTATTCCAGATGTAACCTTCTTGTAAATTCTGGCAATATTATCACATTCGCTGTAAGGCAGTTCAAGAGTCACCATCTCAAGCAAACACATGCCAAAAGAATATATATCCACCAGCTCCGTGTAATCCTCCTCGTACAGCTCAGGAGCCATGAATTCAGGTGTCCCCAGTATTGAATGTGCACAATGGCTCTTACCAACTATTGCAGCCAAACCCAAATCGCCAATTTTCACCTAATATGTATATATATTCATTCATTATATGCTCCTTAATTGATTTATAAATGTTTAAAACCAAGCCTTTCGATCAATATCTGTACCTGGCCGATATTGCCATTGATGAAGACGTTGCTGCAATTGAGATCTCTGTGAATGATACATGGTTCATGCCTGTGTAGATAATCCAAGCCTTTCAATATCTGCCATGACCACTTCTTCAAAGCCTGCATCGAAACCTGTTTATGCTTCTTCCGGTAATCTCTGAGGTTGCCGGAGGTACAAACTTCGGTGATGAAGTTTAAGGTGTTCCGTTCCGTGTCTCTCCATTCCCGGAACAGAGTAATTATGTTGTTGTTCTTCAACGACGTTAATAGCTTCACCTCGGAGTAAAGCCGTTCCATCATGGATTGATCATGGCAAAAGTTCCTCAATTTTACTTGATTCCAAGCCACCTCGATCCCTTCCTCCTGGTCAAACGCTCTGTAAACTCTCTTCACTGCGCCTGAACCGAGTAGCTCACTGTAGCGTCCGTACCTTCCACTCGGATCCACCTCCACAAACGCCTCCGAATCCAATTCCATTGCCGGCATCTTCCAACACAAGTGCTTTCAGGTTATATAACGAATCAAATACACAACTCAATTTTAAATTAAGAAAACATAAAAGTAGAGAGACGACATATGATGATGATGATGATGATTATGAAGTAGTACCATGAAGAGCGCGGAGGAAATGTGTCGGCCACCGGAGTTTCTTAATTCAGAAGCAGTCAGCAGAGACGGGGAAAAAAGGTAAAAGGCGTGTCAATGGAAGGAGGGTTTATAGGCTTATAGCCGTGGCCGTTTGGTGAGGGGTGGGGTTCCGTTAAAAGACTTTTAACAATGGTCAAGTGTCAATGGGTTGGTGGCCGTTTGCTTTTAGGCAGACTGGTGGGATTTTCTTAATCTTTTTAATTTGATTTAAGATTTTTATAAAATCTTTTTTTATACACGTAAATATAATAATCATCAATATAAACACTTGAAGAGAAAGTTGCTAACGATTAAAAAAACGATATATATATAACTAAAAATATTTAATTTTATGGTATATTAGATTCAGAAATGGTATAGAGCCAAGAAAAGTTTTTGGGGTGGTTATGCATGAGATATTTATTTCATATTTATTTAATTTGGGTTTAATATTCTCTAAGAAATTTATAAGTTTTAATAAGTATGATTCAGAGACAAGACCAGTGATTGGTTGGATTAGCGTAAAACGCGCAGATAAGGACGTAAGTCGCGGTGCCGGACCACAATCATCGTCGGGACAATTTGCCTCTGTTCATCGTTATTAAAACAAGTAAGTTTTCTTAAAGAATTTTAAAGCAAAATTATTTAAATATGAGTAAATTTTCACGCATACTATCTAAAAAACATATTCCTGGTAAAAATATCGATAATGAACAAGATTATGATAATCAAATAAATTCTATTGAAGAAACCGTTAATGGCATAGAACAAAGTTTAAATGATTGGACAATACCTAAAACAAATGTTAATACAATATATAGAATAGGAACTTTTGACTATTTTCAAGGTTATTCTATTAAAATGACAGAACAAACTTTGTCTATTGGTCAAAACCAACAAAATTTACATTTATTATCATCACGATCTATTCTAGAACATAGAATGAAATATAAATTTTTACATGTTGGTTTAGTCCAAATTGCTATCAAGCCTTTATTCAGACTTGGAATAGATGCCCCTGTTCTCCTTATTTTAAGAGACAAGAGACATAAAGATTTTCAAAATTCTATTTTAGCTATGGCTGAAACAAATATTGCTAACGGACCTATTTATTTCAATTGTTATTTAAATTTTTCTGTAGGGTTATTTGATAAAAATATTTTAGATACTTTAGTGTTAACTGTAGAAACAAAAAATTTAGAATTTAAAGATGATACAAAACCTTTAGCAATAATTTATCGTGTTTGTTACAAAACTATGACAACTACACTTGAACCGAAAACACGTTTATCGAGTCCTAAAAATGAAACAATTATTTTTGAAGCAAATACTAACCATACCAAAGTTCACATACCAAAAAGGTTAAAATGGTCTGATATAACTCAATCATGTAACTGGAATTTACAAAATGTTATCGATCCAAAACCACTAGACTCTTCAAGACAAATCTCAAATATTATAGAATATAATGATGGTTCAGTAGATATAAATTTTTCTTCCTTAAAAATTTCATCATCCAGATTATCGACTTCTTTTATCCCGGAGACAAGTTCTTCAAAATCTCCGTTATCAAAGTCAAGATCTTTAAAACTAAAAACTGTTGACTATACTAATTCTATTCCCAAACCATTATATCAAGATGACCAAAATAGTGAAAATAGTTTTCCTAGTCCTACTAAATCAGATTTTATTGATGAACTCCAAAATTTTAAACAACAAATATGAGTTCTAAAAATACAAATTAATTGTTCAAAAAATAATAAGCTTTGGGCTAATATGTTAAAAAGACATTGGAAGATAAATTCTAATATATGCAAAACCATTCAACGTTTAGAAGAAACTAGAATTCATGAAGATTATAATTTATACAAAATACTTCCATATACTAATGAATATAATAAACAAATAGAAAAAATTTCTAGGCTAACAATAGGAATAAAAAAAATACGAAAAATCACGAAGTCATAATTTAGAATCAATAAAACATTCTTCAATCCTAACAAAAACAACCTGTTAAAATGTTTTATCAAATAAAATTCATTCTCCTTTTTTTCAATGGTTTGAGTTAATTTATGCCCCTAAACATAAAATAAATTACCCATTTAAAAATAATTTTATCACTCCCATTTTAGAGAAAAAATATAAAGATATTATTTCTAATAAAAGAAATTATTGCTAATTTTCCACCAAAAGGAGAAATTATTATTAACGATATGTTTATTGCGACTCCTTTAGTTCAAGTCCCAAATCAATTAACTACAGAAAAGGGTCTTCAAAAAATCATTTACCAAAATAATTATGCAAACGAAACCTTATCTAGTATTACCGAGCATTTAGTTAAAATTGAAGAAAAAAATTTCAATGACAAGAATGATAATAAGCAGAATATGGCAAGCACTAGCAATATAAGTTTTGTTCCTTGTCAAATCGATGGTAATTTTAATCTAGGAAATACGGATTTAATTAACGAATTAGAAAAAAGACTTTCAAAACTTCATATCTCAAACACTAACAGTATTAATACCCTTACAAATGATGAAGCTGAAAATAGTGATATTAATAGTGAAACAAATTTTGAAACCCTTGCTCAACAATTTGATAATTCAAATGATGATATTAATCAACTCACTAATGATTTTTCAAATCTTAATAAAATTCATCAATCAAAGTGAAGCTCTTTCGGAAAGAATCCAAAGCCAACCATAAGAAATTATTGGAATAGGCCCTCTCTTCCAGATGTTCAACTAGAAGAACGAACTTTTCAGTTTGATCGTTCTCAATATGATGATAATTCTGTTTATGAATGGAATGTTGATGGCCATTCTGAACATCAAATTATGAATATTGTACAAGAAATGACTATGGCTGCTAATGCTTATAAAGCTCATAATAATACTCAACTTCAAATTGTTAATATTATTACTTCCGGTTTTACTGGTAGTCTCAAAGGATGGTGGGATTTCTATATTTCACAAGAAGAAAAAGATTATATTTTATCTGCTAAGAAAACTATTATAAAACAAGAAAATAATCAACAAATACAAACGTTTGAAGATGATATGGTTAACACCTTAATTTTTGCTATTATCAAAAACTTTGTAGGAGATCCTACTACTTTTCAAGAAAAAACTTCAGAAATTTTAATGAATTTACATTGCAGAAAACTTACTGATTTTAGATGGTATAAAGATAATTATCTTGTTAAAGTTTTTTCAAGACCTGATTGTAAAGAGTCTTATTGGAAAGAACGTTTTATTGCTGGCCTTCCTAAACTCTTTGCTGAAAGAGTTAGACAAAAATTAAGAGAAAGTTTTAATAATACTATCCCTTATCAAAATTTAACTTATGGAGATCTAATAAACTACATTAATAAAGAGGGATTAGTAGTTTGTGCTGATCTTAGGTTTAAAGAAAAGCTCAAAAAAGATAGAATTAACAGTAAAAATGAATTGAGAAATTTTTGCCAACAATATGGTTATCAGCCCTTGAATGGTCCGTCTACTTCAAAATCTAAAGTATATAAGAAAAGACCTTCAAAATATTTCAGAAAAAAGAATTATAATCTTCCAGAAAATTATAAAAAAGGCCAAGATTATGCGTCAAAATCTAAAAAACCTTATAAACCAAATTATAAAAAATCTAAAAGAAAATCAAAAGATATTATTATTTGTCATAAATGTGGGCGTAATGGTCATACAGCTAATAATTGTTATGCTAAGACAAAAATAAATGAGTTAAATGTTTCTGATGATTTAAAAGAACAAATAAGAAAAATTATTTTAAATACTGATTCAGATTCTGATGAAAGTATTTCTGATTTTCAAACAAATGATTTAAATATTCTCGAAAATACTACTTCAAGTTCAGAAGATTCTGATGTTTGCGAATGTATTGGTAAATGTCATTGTAAAAATTTAATCAATGTAATTACTAGTAGTTCTATTAATGTTCTTTCACAAGATGATAAAGATCTTTTAAACTCTCTTGATTCTATAAAAGATAAAAATATCCAAGAATTATTAATAAAGCAGATGCTTAATAAAACTAATAACATAACTCCTGATAATAATGAAAATTTTAATTTAAAAAATATATATAAAATATTTACTGAAGCAAAACCAATCTCTATGCAAGAACTTCAAGAAGAATTAAAAATAGTAAAACAAGAGATAAAAGAAATAAAAAATAAAATTTTAATTTTAGAAAAAGAAAAACCTTCTATTTTTAAAAACAAAAATATAGAAATTAATAAAGAAGAAGAAAATAAAATTGAAAAGGTAACTATTGGAAAAATTATAAATAATCAAGTTTCCTAAAAATGGAACACTCAAATTACTTTAGTCAAGGATAATTTTAAAATCAACCTAACTGCTTTAATTGATAGTGGTGCTGATATAAATTGTATTCAGGAAGGAATTTTTCCTACACAATTCTATGAAAAAACTGCATCTAGACTTACTGGTGCCGGAGGTACAAAATTAATTGTAAATTATAAAGTTTCCGATGTTCATATTTGTAATAACCAAGATTACTGTTATAAAACCCACCTAATTTTAGTAAAAGATCTATCTTCTCCTTTAATTCTAGGAACAACTTTTATTACAAAACTATATCCTTTTATGGTTCATGATGATGGTATAAGAACCAATGTTTTTGGAAAAGAAATTATATTTAAATTTTGTGAACCTCCTCTATATTCAACGATTAATGTCCTTAATTATAAAACACAACAAGCTAAATATCTTATTAACGAAATAAATAATGTTCGAATAACTAATCAATTAAATGACAATAATATTCAAAATAAAATAATAGGTTTAAAATTAAAATTTGAAAAAATGTCTGTTCTAATATTCCTAATGCCTTTTGGAATAGAAAACAACATATTGTAAAATTACCGTATATAAAAAATTTTGATGAAAAGGATATTCCTTCAAAATCTAGAGCCATTCACATGAATAGTGAACTAGAAAGTCATTGTAAAAATGAAATTCAAGATTTAATAAATAAAAAACTTATAAGACCTTCTAAATCATCATGGTCTTGTTCAACATTTTATGTTATGAATGCCGCAGAATTAGAAAGAGGATCACCAAGACTAGTTATCAATTATAAACCTTTAAACAAAGTTTTAGAATGGAT